GTTATGTTTATATTTAATTTGTTTAATAGGCACTAGTAGATTTTATTCCATTTGCAATTTAAGGACAACAGTAAGTATCACAATGTGGTACAATTTCTGTAAAAAGATTGTTCCCAGTGCCTGTCATATCGGAAGCTAGTTGATTGTCTTCTCTCCCAAATGTGTTTTAATATGTATAGTCTTGTCTTCCTTCTATGTCCGCTTTCATTGTGTGTGTTCATGTATATGTACCAAAACAGACTGAATGTCATTTTTGTCTATGATGATAAATTTCCTCACCATGAGTTTTTACATTTTAAGTGACAGCTCAGGCTGACAGCTCTCCTTCTTTACCATTAGCAGCTGGGCTCATTAGGCTGTTCTGTTTAGAGGCTGAGAGCAGGGAGAAGGCAGATCAGCAGTACAAGTTATGTTTCCATAAATAGCAGTTTCGTGGGAGTGGTTTTGTGATATATTTTTTAAGCTCTCATGAAAATCATTGAGTACATGAGCAGCCATACCGGCTTTCACTGTGGCAGGCAGCCCAGTACCGCCAGGATCCTCAGGGGGTCTTTTTTTTAGCATACAAGGAGAACTCTGGTGAATGAGCCCTAATTTTTTTTTTAATCCAGAGAGGGAAACCTTTAAAATTATAGTACAGGAAAGGATCTGCTTGTTCAAAGAGAAAACATCCCTAAGATGTTTTCACAGATACTGGGTTGAAAAACAGTAATATCAGGGAGCAAGTAAAGCTACATTTTTCCCAAAGTGAGATCTCAGATGCAATTTAAAAAAATCATTTTAGACCTTATGTAAATTTGTTAGTATATCATTTGAATACCCAATTTTGTTAGTTGCATCCTAAGAAATCTTCAAACACAGTAAAGTGCCTTAGGAATACGTTCTGGTGAGTACACGCATGTATTGCTGCACCCAGCTTCTGGCTGAGCTGTCTCTTCAAGAATTCAGGGAAGCGGTCTGGAATTATAACTGCCAGGCCCAGCAGAAATTCACCTGCATGGAGTTTAGGATTTTGTGTGGCAATAAGCATTTTCAATTAAAAGTTTCCCAAATTTGGAACTGAATCTATAAACAAGTGGCAGATTGAGCTAGCACACCAAGCAACATTGGCATGTTGGGGGAAATATGGCTTTTAAAAAAATTGGATGGTTAAGCTGAGAAAAATGCAGCTGTGCTTTACTTCACATTGCACTAATCAGAACTCTTTGACTTCTTTTTTTCTTCATCAGTGTACCCAATGTTGTGTGTGTTGGCTCCCCATCCCCCAAACCTTCACTTGTGTCTTTTAAGACTAATTTCAAATGGGATGTGGTTTAAAGCAATTTAATACTCATTCACTGTAATGGTAACAGAAAGCCTTGCCTGCCTTATAGTTTAGCTCTTTAATAGGTCGGAAGCAGCAGGTAATCTTCTTGTAGAGAGCACTTAGATTTTTAACCCTTACCTAGTACATTGCTAGAGGTCTTGGAGTTTACAGAGAAATCAAAGTTGTCTGCTGACCTTAAAACAAAAATGTAGAGAATATGGTGTTCCTTAATTAGAAGTAAAATTGCTTTTGGGATACAGTATCCCAATTAAACCAAGAAATAATCATGTATTAGAGCCCCGAATGTTTTTTACATGATGCAGGTTGGGAGGTAGAGGTGCAGGGGTTGCAAAGAGAATCTTGCCAGTAGTCAAGGGATTCACAATGTCTACTTCCAGGGCTAGGTTCCTTGATGAAGGCCATTGTCAGATTGGACTGGGGAAAGCTGTTTTAAACTCGTATTATTCTCTCAATCCACATTCTACTTTCCATGAGAGAAGTAAACTGTAGAGCCATACAGAGCTATTAAAACTCTCCAATAAACAGATTAAAGAAAAATCAATTCATATGGGGGGTACAAGAGAAGGCAAACATGATTTAGAGGGGACTTGGGGTTACTACTGCTATTATATAGAAATATTTGCACAGGCAATGCCTCCCTGCAAACCATTCCCAGGCTGTTAATCTTCCTGTTTACCATAATTCTGCTTCTCTGGGAATTGCTTCTGTCTTCTCAAAGACAGTTTCTTCCCAATACTGAAAGGGCTTACCTATTTATTCAGTCATGCTGTTGAATATATTAATGGCTTTGGTATTCAGTTCATGGGTGTGTGGATGTAGGTGTGTATATACACATATGTACATAAATGCTGAACAATACGAGATTCTGAAGTATGAGTTAATATTTGAAATTTCAGGAAGTAGGAGGAATTCTGGATTCTAATTGTGAATGTCTTGATTGTAATATCTGTTGGTGGCTGCATTTGGAAGTTATACCTGAATAGTGAATCAAATTTGTTCAGCATTGGAAAGGCAGTGAATGGAGACTTTTAACCAGCTTTTTCTAAAAGAAAAGAAAAAATGTGTTTTGTGTAACCCAGATAAGCTAATATAAAATAATATCTAGAAACATTAAACCAGGGTAAGCACTACAAAGAAAATAGAACAAATGAGAGAAAAAGTTTGTACTTGCAAGGTGGGACAAAGCAGATACCTTCTAGTGGGGCACTGGGAACCATAAAGGAAGCAAGCTAAAGCTTCTCAAATTTGTTCCCTAGAAGAGTTAAGAGACACTCCTCCACCTTCAGTTGCCTCCATTTTTTTTCTACAGCCTTTGACTCCAAGAAATTGTCAGTGGAAATGAGTAGAGACCTTGCCATTCCTTCTTTTCTGTCTGAAAATAGTCACATGTGCAGAGCGCACTCCCTGAGTCCTTCAGGCTGCAGCTTCTCCCTGCTGCCTTCCAGCTCTAAGCTCTGTACAGATGTAACACCATGGCAACAGGCCCAGCCTAGAGCCCAGGAACCTTGTTTGTGCTACCTGAAGGGCTGGATGCAGCCTGCAGAAGAGAAAAAAGGAATATTACCTATCCTGCAGCCTGTTTGGGAGATGACTTCCTGTTCTGTTGTTTGTATTTCTGTTCTACTTTTATTGAAGACTTGAAATTGGACCTGGAAAACATTTACCCAGAGATGTTACCAGTAAGCAGCGACACCCAGGAAAACCATCTTCTGTTGGTTCTTGCCTTTTAAACAGTTATTTTCTGAGATGTAGTTCAAAGAGTGAGTTTTACCGTGACATGTGACACCACTATGATTTGGGGTTGCACTGCCAGGTGGCTGTACAATTGCTTCATGTAGGTAGGCATTTAATTTGTTTAAAATAAAATTGATTTATGTTTTAGAATATTTTCCTAAAAAATTTTAAAAGTAATCCTTTGTCATACCTCCTTCTATTTTAAATATTTTTCCCATTGAAAGGGTTATTCCCAGAACACAAGAGGCTTTTCCCCTCTAAAGCCTCCTGGGAAAAATGAGCTGGAATTGTTGTTTTACATGTATTTTTAAGAGATCAGAGTATTATATTCCTTCAGCCAGGTTTCCTATTAACCATACTGGGAAATGTTCTATGGTGATTATATGAAAGTATAATTTTTTTTAGTATTTAGTCTTTATAGTTAATGTACTGTGTTTACAATATTTAACATTTCATTGTCATATCCAGTAGAACAAAAGGAAATAAATGTTATGTTTATTGTTACATTTTTTATGTACAAAATATTAGGTGACATTTTGTCCCTTTTGTGTATACCATGTATCATCAATGGGAAATGTAGATACTGATTTGTTGACCTTAAAAAGACTGATGAATATCAGAACACCTGTTTTTCAGTCTAAACATTAAATGATGGTTGGGTTTTATGTGTGTGTGTGTGTGTGTGTGTGTGTGTGTGTGTGTGTGTGTGTAGAAGAATGGACTAGAATCTTTATTGCTTAAGATGTTTCTTATGTGTGGAGTTTGACTTAACAATGTTAGAATGGAAACAGAAGAGGAAGAGCAGCCTTAGTGCTAGTTTCCTATACCTCATTACTTTATAATTTAACTGAAATCTGCTCTGGCATTAAATATTTCAGTTCCATTTAGTGTTAACAGGGTTATTTCAAGGAAAAGAACGAAGCTGTTTATTTAATGTGTTTTACAAAGGTAGCATCTTTGCACAAGGCATTTCTTTGTAGCCCATTACTAGGTACTTGTGCTTGAAACATATGTATTTAACTCTGGGTGTTTTGGTCAATAAATACTGTAATAATTAGTAAAACTTAATGGCTATCCAGTTTTGGACTCAAGAATATTGTGCTTCATATTGCTTCACTTTGCTAATTCTTCCAAAGCGGAAGGCAGTGAAGTCCTGGCTCCTGCAGTGACCAGTCATTTGCAGGGCATTCTTTTTTAAACAACTAGGAAACAAGATCAGCCAGGATGCCTGAATGGTGCTGACAAAGATTTGTTCTTCTAAATGAGAGTTTGAGCACTTCTTTTGAGGGTAGGAGGTTACTTCAAGGCATTTCATTCTTTATTCATATTTATACAGTGAGGCATGGACAGAACCAAAAGCCTGCCAGAACAGAATGCCATATTGACACTGAAATCAGATGCTTTGAAAGGCAGGGTCTTGTGCTGAAAAATTTGGCTTTGACTTTGTGTGTGTGTTTATTCTGACAAAGCAGAAAGAAACAGAATAAGTATTCAGCCACTACTATTTTATCAGTGATAGAAGAGGACAGAGCATGGGGAAAAGAGAAAGAACATGTCTTCTAATAATAACCAGTGTGTGAAAAATAATGTATAAGATGACCTTGAGTAGTATTTTTACATGTCCAGGATGGGAACAAGGATAAAAACAATGTCTGTAGTGGAGCTTTCAACTCCTTTGAGACTAGTCATATTATAGTACATTTTGAGCTTTACTGAGGAAAAAAATTATGTGTGTCCACATACAAATAGATATGTGGTTTATATGTGCCACATGAATATGGTTGCTATTATTATAGACTATTAATTTGCTCCTCGTTTATTTTTCCCATAGGCATTTGTACATTTGTTGTTAGCCTCCATTGTGTTAGCCCTTCATTTCCTTGTTGTTACACCATTTCCAAGTAGTTACACCATCTTAAATATCTTTTTCTACTTTTAGGTCTCGTGGGCTGCCTAAACTAAAGGAGTCACGTTCCCATGAGTCCTTGCTGAGCCCGTGCAGTGCGGTGGAATGTCTGGACCTTGGTAGAGGGGAGCCCGTGTCTGTGAAACCGCTCCATAGTAGCATCCTTGGACAGGACTTCTGTTTTGAGGTAAAACATGTAGAGAGAAGGAAGAGTAGTTAAATGAGCAAGTTTTCTACCCAGTAGTTTTGTGATTTCATTACTATGACATGGATGATTTGATTATCTTAACTGGTTTTCAGTTGCTGAAAATTACCTACTTCAGAGAAAAGGTTGGATATCTGTTTATATAATTATATGGGTAATTAAAATTATTACTGATGGCTTCTCACTCCTGTGGGCCAATATAAGTGGGTTTATTAGTACATTCTCAGCAGAGGTCATAAAACTAAAATAACATATTAAGTTAGTATTTTAAGTTTTTGGAATTGATAAAGATACCACTCCTAAAACCCTATGCCCCCAGTTTTAATATTTCTCTGAAGAAATTGATCAAAACTATAATTTTTCTAACTGCAACATGAACACTTCAAGACCTGGGACTATGTCTTACTTATTTTTGTAATCCCCTATACATCCCCAGTCCCTGACACATTTCAGGTGCCTAATTTCTTGAATGAACAAACTGCCTTTCTCTAGAAAATTATGACTATCAGATTTTATAGGGTAATTTCTCCCTCCCAAACTAAATGTACACAATTGGCCATTTGCAAATTAAAATGTAAAACTATATATATAATTGTTAGGGCTAAGATTTGATTAATTAACATGAACTTACTAAGTGACTAGTGATGATTCCTACGATAGATATTTGATTCCTGCCCTTACGGGCCTGTGCTGTCCAGCAGAAATATAATGCAAGCAGCATGTGTAACTTTAAATTCTATTAAAACCATATATTATCATCTCAACATGTAACTGATATAAAATTATCAATGGGATTTTTTACTTTTTTTTTTAACTAAAACTTCACAGTCTGATGTGTATTTTACACTTACAATATTATCTCAATTTCAACTAGCTACATTTCTGATGCTCAGTAGCCACATGTGACTAGTAGCTGCCATACTGAACAGAACATGTAATCTGATCTGATAATCACTAAATTATAACCTGAGAGAAAGTTAATATGTGATCATGATTCAGCAATTTGGTCATTTATTGGTGTCCTTTTAAGAAAAGTCACTTGAACTTTCCCATATTTGTGGAACTCAGTTCAACAGACTGTATACAAGCCCAGTAATAGGTGCTAAGCATACAGACAGCATGTTTCATTTCTAAAGGACAGTGATAATAGTAGCCAGGTTAACCTAATAAATGACTGGAAATAAACAGGCTGCTTACTTAGTGGAGGCAAAATGGGTTCCAAAGTAATTCAATACTGTAACTCTTCCCAATTTCATTTAGTACCCTTATGTAATAATTATAGTGAAGGCAGTCCCAAGAAATTTGATAATCCGTTTTAGAGACCTTCTTCCCTTTTGAGTTATTTTTTATTAACTCACTCAGTATTGAGCATAATTTTTTACAAGTAATTTATTAAGATATGGCCTGAAAGGTTTTTATTTTTTATCTTTCTGAACCGTAGGCCAATTTGAAGTTCCTGAGATGAATTCTGAATGGCTTTTGTCCTCATACCTGGAAATGCGTGTAAATGCTGTCTAGATCACAAAGCCAAAGGCAGATGTAAACGCTGACACAGATATCACAAAACTTGCAAATAACCATTTTGGTTTCATATAGTATGATTTGGGTTCACAGCATATCCCTAACTCTGAGTAAGGAGTCCTGTTTCCTTTTACTTATGTTTAATCTTTATGTTGCAGGTTACCTACTTAAGTGGAAGTAAGTGCTTCAGCTGTAACTCTGCTTCAGAGAGAGATAAGTGGATGGAAAACCTTCGAAGGACAGTTCAACCAAATAAGGTAATAGTGGCTTTGGGTGTCCAGGAAATATATAACTCTGTAAACAGGAAGTTGGTAGATGCTGTTAGTAATACCTTGATTTTTATAAGCTTTTAAAACATATTTACATGTGCCGTTCTACACTCGAAATAACCATATGCAGATATCATGATTTCACCACGTGAATAAGATGATGCAGAGAAGTTAAGCAACTTGCCTATGTCAGAAACTAGCACTTGATAGAAATGGGATTAGAATACAAGTTCTTAACTACTTATCTCTTTTTTATTTGCAGAAACAAGGCAAGTTGCCAGTAGGTTGGCTATATTACACTACAAGATGATATTTTTTTAACCCACGTAAAATAGAATGTATGTGGCTTTCTAAGATTCTGATACATTCTTGTTTAGAGTTTGCTGTTAATCCTAAACAGTGACATAGCATTCCCTTTCATTATTTATTGACTACCTTTAACAAAGCACATGGTCAGCATCCCCTACTTTGAAAGGAAAATGTTGTCTTTCTGAGATTTCAGCTCTAAAACTAGACTTCACTGCTTCCTCTTAGGACAATTGCAGACGAGCTGAAAATGTTCTCCGTTTATGGATCATTGAAGCCAAGGACCTTGCCCCTAAAAAGAAATATTTCTGTGAACTGTGCCTTGATGATACCCTCTTTGCTCGTACAACCAGCAAGACCAAAGCAGATAATATTTTCTGGGGTGAACATTTTGAATTCTACAGCCTTCCGCCTCTTCATAGCATCACAGTTCACATTTATAAAGATGTGGAAAAAAAGAAAAAAAAAGACAAGAATAATTATGTAGGGCTAGTCAACATCCCCACTGCCAGTGTGACTAGCCGCCAATTTGTAGAAAAGTGGTATCCTGTGAGTACACCTACACCCAACAAAGGAAAGACAGGAGGGCCTTCTATTCGGATTAAATCACGCTTCCAGACTATTACCATTCTACCTATGGAACAATACAAAGAATTTGCGGAATTTGTCACCAGCAACTACACCATACTGTGTTCTGTCCTTGAACCAGTAATTAGTGTGAGAAATAAAGAGGAGTTGGCTTGTGCCTTAGTGCACATTCTTCAAAGTACTGGCAGAGCCAAGGTGAGTGGAAAAGGAGGCTACCATTACCCAAATCTCTTCCCTACTTTTATGCATGTTTACTCTGGAGATCTAAATTAGACAAATATGCTTTGCTCTATCAGTTAAATAACAAATAAAAGTTAAGAAGGAAACCTATTAACAGTTTTTAGATGCAACAAATATGGGGACTATAGAACTAAAGCAAAATAGAGAGGCCAACAAATATTTATTTTAAGTCCATTTGCATGAAGCATAGATCCCACAGCTAGCTCTTTATAGCCTGACAAAATAAATGGTAGGATTGGTGTGGTAATCCCACAGTGTGCTCAAGATTATTTATCTTTACGTGTTGTATGATGGTTTTACTCCTCACCATATTTTTTTTACATTAATATTAATTGATGACTATATCCCTTTGTCAGAGAAGGGGGTATTCCAGAAGCATGGGCATTAGCAAGAGTCTTCATGGGGTTAAAATCTAAATTTGAAATTAAAGTACCAAGGAATGTTATGTAATTAGTAGGTATTTCACGATAGTCTTATCCTTGATAGAAGCAAAATTCAGGAAGATGGAAAAAGAAATATGCTTATTGTATGAAGAACACCAACCAATAGTCTTCGGTCAACCTAAATATGGTAATTACCACCTCTGTGAGACATTCACTAAACTAGACTGAGATTATATTATATGCAAAATAGTCATGGTAAAATTTTAGATCTAGAGGAGTTCACAGCTAGAGTAATTTATTTTGAATCAAACAATAAAATTAAGCGTTTTTAAGACTTCTTTATACAAATCAGAATATATTCAATTTTAGTCTCTTATCTAACTCCTTTCTATTGATTATTCGTTACTGAATTTACTGATAATAATTTTGAGCTTTCTGGTGTTAAAAAAGGCTTATAAGTTTATAGTGAATTGTCAAAATTTTGAGTCTCCTCTTTCAAGTTATATATGTTCTTTTTGCTTTTCAGTTGTTTAAGGCTCAAAGATACATGTAGGATTTTTTTTTAACTTTATTGAGGTATAGTTATGTACAGTAAACTACACCCATTCAAAGTGAACAATTCAGTGAGTTATGGCAGATTATGCACCCAATAAAACCACAACAATCAAGATAAACAATGTTACCATCACTCCCACAGGTTTCCTCCTGTCCCTTAGCAAGAGTTTTAATAGTGATTCTTAAGTCGACAACTCTTTCATACTGTTGAGATACCACAGAGTAAATCTTGGTAATGTTTAAAATGCTTAATTTTAAATTAAAATCAGCATTATTCCCCATTTTTGGTTTTGGAGACTGAAATATCCAATGAATATATGACTGAAAAAAATGATGTTATCACATTTCAAATGAACAATAGATAGTGGATTTTATATCAAATTCTTTAAGACTGTTGAGAAATAAAGCAGTTATTTCTTAAAGACTTTATTCCTTCCTTTCTTCTTGAATTAATGGATGGACAGACAATGAAGAGAGAGAGAGATAGCCAGATATTCTACAAAATGAGTTCAAATATTAAGTTCAAGAAATTCCATGTTGATACTGCAGACCAATTTATAATTATATATTGAATACTTAGTATGTGTCAAAAACTGTTAAGTGCTGAAAATAGATGAATAAAATTAGACACTGTCTTTGGCCTAATGGGGCTTATAGTCTTGTAGAGAAAAGAGGTATTAATCAAGTAAATACAGAAATAAATGCATGATTACAATGAGAAATACAGAAGATAAAAAGGTGCTGTAAAGAGTGTGGATTAAGGGATCCTGACTATGGGAGATCAGGGGTAGTATTGGTCAAAGAAAGCTTCACTGAGGAAGTGATATACAAACTAAGATACAAAAGATCTGAGGAATTAATTCTATGACAGTCGGTGGGAGTGAGGGTGGGTGTGAAGCAGAACTGAGAACATTTGCAAGAAGCTTTGTGGTGAATAGGGAATATTGTGTGTTAGAAAGGACTTGATATATTCAAGGACCTAGAAAGAGGCCCCTGAGGCTAGAACACATTGCAGAGAGAATGGTACAAGATAAATGGAAGGTAGACAGAAACCAGAAAAGACAGAGACTTGTAGGCTGCATTCAGGATTATGGTCTTTATCAAAAATGCAATAGGAAAACCTCTGAAGGAATTTTAAACTTAAGGGTGGTGACACTAAGATTATGTAACCTGAGTGACTTTTTTCCTTCAAATGAATCTGGTAGCTTAATTTTAAAACAGCATTCACAGGATGTCTGATATATCATCAGTTTCTACTAATGTATATTACTTATTCAGTTGCCTTCTGCCTAATTGAACATTATTTTACCAGGATTTTCTGACTGACTTGGTGATGTCTGAGGTGGATCGTTGTGGAGAGCATGACGTCTTAATATTCAGAGAGAACACCATCGCTACCAAGTCCATTGAGGAGTACCTCAAGTTGGTAGGACAGCAGTACCTCCATGATGCACTGGGTATGGAGGAGATCGGCTGTTTGCTTTCCCTTTCCACTCTAAGTCATTTCATCCTCATGAGACAGACAGATCAAGCTCCAAATGCTGCATGTTATTTAGTTCTAGCTGACTGAGTGTTAAAGTTTGAGTTTCAACTGTAAGGAGTCTGCAGTACTCACCAGTGGAGGGGGAACAGATTGGTTTATTACAATACGTACAGGAAGAGAAAGCCCATGCAGCTACCCAGACCTCAAGTTCCTGATGCTGAGATACACCATAATATTAGTGGGTGCCACTGCTAGACCTGAGGTGACCTGCTTCCCCCAACGTTCATGATATAAATATAGTACCTTAGTCTTGAAAGAGTTAACATTTGTTGTCATGCATCAAAAATGAAGAAACTCTTGCCAATTCCCACAACTCCCTATTTCTGCCTCCAAGACCTCTAGAATTTTTAGCAGTAACTAATTCTTGTCCAATCAGTCCAATCAGTAGTTCTTACTGACTAGGCCACACACCTGCAATTCCAGATCTGGTCATGAAATTCAGACACTGATCCCTAGAGTAAGGCACTGTGCTGACACTTTGAGGCACACCATGATAGAGCAGATGTGAGTTCCTGTTAGATCACAGTCATTTCTTTTATCTCCATATTCTCAGTGCTTCATGCATAATATAGAGCAGTACTATCATATAGAAACATAATGTGAATCACATGTGGGTAGATTTTCCAAAAGTCACAGTATGAAGAGGGTAAAAAGAAACAGGTAATATTAATTTTAGTAACATTTTTTAACTGAATATATCCAAATATTAATAGGTCATCAATATAGAAATTATTAATGAGGTATTTTACTTTTCTCTGTTATCTCTGAATGAAGTTAATCATTGAGAGTAAGAGAAAAGGTGAATCTGAGAAAAATTAAGAAGTTAAATTAATAGGACTTGGCCAACTTTTCAGTTTATGGGAATGTAGTGGGGGGTGGACATCAGATATTACAATGAATTTTGGGCCTTTGTGAGCAACTAGAAGGATGAGATTCTTAACAGAAAGAGAACATGGAAGTAGTAGACTTGAAAGATGGGAAATATTCCTACTTCACATGTATTCAACCTGAAGTTCTAGTAGGAAACCCCAGGGGTTCTGCCTAAGAAATCCCAACACATCCATCTTTCTCACTGGCTCTTTGAAATTTAGGATAAGTTACCCATGGGAAGAGATACCTGAAACTGCAAAATTACCAGAGGAGGAAGAGAGGACCAAAGACAGATCTTACAATGCATCTGGTGTAGAATATATGGTGTAGAAGAGGAATCAGAGAAGCTATTGAGAGAAAGTAAGCATGCATACACGCATGCAGAAAGAAAAGCAGGAAAGTACTGAGTCCTAGACACTAAGAGAGAAGAGAGTATGAATAGAGTCAGAGCTGAGGAAGGTAGAGATTAAAAGAAAAAATGACTATTGCATTTGGCATCAAAGATCACTAGTGATGGCTGCCACTGCCCTCAAAAGGGCAGGAGCCAGGTTGTCCGGGGTAAAAAGTGAATGACTGCTGGAGAAATAGGATGACTATGTTTACATGAAGTAGACTAACTCCAGCAGCAATTAGTTCCTACTCTGGAGAAGTAAATTTTTTCTCTTCCTCCTTCCTATCTTCATACTCTTTTCTTTTCTCTAAATTATGTGCTTTGGTTTAAGATCCAATGGGAATTTACTAGAAGAATAGCAAAAATGAGTTTTAATTGTTGTTAGGGAAGATACAGAAAGGTTTATGGTCTCACATAAAAGAGTTTCTTACAGTCATATCGTGGATTATATCATGATTTGCTTTAATAATTTGTATTACCTTATAAAAGGCGATGATGAAGCATCTCAAACACTATTCTCCATTTTATAGGAAGAGGGTTAAATATTTGTTGACCACCTACTTCTTGAAATTCAAATATTTATATTCTACAATTCAGTGTGCTAACCAGGATTTCCAGATGAAATCATTTCCAAGTGAAAAGTAGATACAAGTTCTTTGATAGGACAGTGAATAATTAAATAGCTAATTGGCTCAATAAGACATGCCAGTTAATTCAGTGAGCATGGAAAGAAATTCAGGTAACCCCACAGAGATCTCTACTACCTGATTCATAACAGAAGAGCAAAGTCAAGTGTAGTGAAAAGGGCTGCCACTTCCAAGAGAATAAACAAAATCAATTGGTGAGCTTCCTCAGGGTGGAGATTCTGCTGACTTCCTCTCATTTAACTCCCCATATTTCTGGTTAGCCTTAACATCCTAGATTCTCAATTGTTTTTCTCCCATATTTTTTTTTATTTTTTTTATTTTTTTTTGAGAGGGCATCTCTCATATTTATTGATCAAATGGTTGTTAACAACAATAAAATTCAGTATGGGGGGTCAACGCTCAATGTACAATCATTAATCCATCTCAAGCCTAATTCTCGTCAGTCTCCAATCTTCTGAAGCATAACGAACAAGTTCTTACATGGTGAACGAATTCTTACATAGTGAATAAATTCTTACATGGTGAACAGTACAAGGGCATTCATCACAGAAACTTTCAGTTTTGATCATGCATTATGACCTATAAACAATCAGGTCAAATATGAATATTCGTTTGATTTTTGTACTTGATTTATATGTTGATCCCACATTTCTCCTATTATTATTATTATTTTTATTTTTAATAAAATGCTGAAGTGGTAGGTAGATGCAAGATAAAGGTAGAAAACATAGTTTAGTGCTGTAAGAAGGCAAATGTAGATGATCAGATGATCAGGTGTGTGCCTATGGACTAAGTATTAATCCAGGCTAGACAAGGGCAGCAAGACATCCACGGATGCAGAAGATTTCTCTCAAAGCAGGGGGGGTGAGGTTCTGAGCCTCACCTCTGTTGATCCCCAAATTCTCACCTGATGGCCCCCCTGCGACTGTGCCTGTCTTAGGTTGTTCCTCCCTTGAGGAATCTTACCC